AGCCAGCTGTGAGCCCCGGCCCCTGCAGGCAGGAGGACGCTCCTCGGGGTCGCCGGACGCCGTCAAAGACCCGCTTGGCAGCGGCCGCCGGAAACCTCGCTCGACCCCAGTCGCTCCCGGGGCCGGGGAAACGGGGGCGTGTGTTTTCCCTCCCCGCGCGGAACAGAATGTGTGAGGGAGGCGAAGTGTGTGCAAACCCCGGCGCCCGCATTCTAATTGCTCCAACAGTAACTGCGCTCACTTCCCTTCCCGTGAGTCTTCGAGTTGTTTCTTAGACTGTCTTTTGTCCCCAGCTCTGACCCACGGGCATTCTTTCCCGGCCTTTTCTGGGGGCACGGAGGAGCTGGTCGTCAGGTAAACCGTCCTGTAGCAACACTGCCCTTCCAAGAACTGCCGGCCACCCTCCCCACCCCATCCCTTGCACATTTACTGCCAAGCTGGCGGACATCGCGGACTTAGATGCGGTTCATTTCTTCCACTGATACCGTAAGTTGCAGGTAAGCTTACCGGGTTCATCTGTCCACAGAGTTCCCACTCGCCGATACATCATATAGCAGCAGAGTCGGCTGACAAAGCATTGAGGAGCAGGGACCCTGGTTCCCGCATACCTGGGTCGAGTCCTCACTCTGCTACTCACTGGCTGTGTGACCCTGGACAAGTTCCTGAACCTCTCTGTGCCTTGCTTTCCCCACTTGTGCAGCAGGGGACGCCTATATCTTTCCTCACAGGACAGTGGTGATGGGCGGTAAGTCCGCACGGTCTTGCACGTGAAGGCCCGGCGGCAGGTGTTCACGTGTGGAGGAGCTCCCGCCCCGGGCAGCTGCGTGTTTATTCCCGAGCACGCACAAGAGACTCGGGTTTTACCACTGAACCGAGAGCGCTGAGTGGGCGCTCAGTGACTGGCAGATGAGCAGAGGATGCCAGTTTAGTCTTCTGTCCCAAATGTGCACGTGGCTTTTCGCACACTTGACTTTGACTCTCACACGCACATGGGGTGGGGGATCTGGGCCGGCGGTGGGACGGGGCGTGGACAGCCCTCGGTGGTGCAGGGTGGGCTCCCGCAGCATCTCGGGTGGAGCAGGGAGACCGCTCGGAGACGCCCCTGCGGGACCCCCGCTAGTTCTCTCAGGCGGCGGGCACGGACGGGGCGGGGAGCGACCTTTCGCAAGCAGGACCAGGAAAGGCCGCACCGCCAGGCTCCGTCTGCGTGCAGCCGCCGTGCGCTCGTCTGCCCGAGTCCCTCGCGAGGTGAGGGGAGAGCTCGAGTCGGGGTGAGCTCTGGAGACGGCTGAAAGCATATGCATATACGTGAGGACGCGAAATGCGTTCTGCCCAGAAAGCACCACCCACGTAGCTGGAGGAAGACCTGCGGGCCAACTAAAACATAAAAAACAATAAAATTAGCTGGGCACGGTGGCCTCACGCCTGTAATCCTAGCACTCTGGGAGGCCGAGGCAGGCAGATTGCTCGAGGTCAGGAGGTTTGAAACCAGCCTGAGCAAGAGCAAGGACCGTCTCTACTATAATAGAAAGAAATTAATTGGCCAACTATATATATAGCAAAAAATTAGCGGGATGGTGGCGCATGCCTGTAGTCCAGCTACTCGGGAGGCTGAGGCAGCGAGGATTGCTTGACCCAGGAGTTTGAGGTTGCTGTGAGCTAGGCTGACGCCACGGCACTCACTCTAGCCTGGGCAACAGTGAGACTCTGTCTCAAAAAAAAAAGTTAATAGACTCGCAGAAAGAAACTGTGACTCAGGAGAAAAGCTGGTCAATACACACACCTGGAAATGGAAGAGATGGTGGAATCAATAGACAAGTACTTTAAAGCAACTGTTAATAAACATCCTTAATGACTGAAAGGAAAATTTGAACATAGTTTAAGAAAAAATAAAATACATAAAAACCAAATACAACTGCAGAGTTATATTAATAAAACATATTATCTGAGTTGAACAGTCACTGGACAGCCTTAGCCAGCAGACTCAAATGCTGCAGAACAAAGGCCACGGGGTTTGAAGACCTATCAGGATCTATCCACATGAAGTATGTTAGAAAAAGCATTTAAAAACTGAACAGAACCTCCAGTGACACTAATAGGGACAAGAATAAGCTATATAAACCATCTATAACACCGAACAACGAAATTTGGAGTCCGGGAGAGGGGCAGAAAATTTTTGAAGAATAATGATCAAAAATGTTCTAATTGATCAAACCAAAGCTCTCAAGTCCAAGAAGCTCAAAATTCCCCAACAATATAAATGAAACTAAAACCACAGCAAAGCACATCTGAAGCAAATTCCTACAAACTACGAGATCACAGGAAAACATATGATTTAGCTAAAAACTAACCATGACCGTAAAACGGCAAAGGAAAATAGACGCATTACAGGTCGTCGCAGAACAAAGCCCCAGGATGGCGCGCGCCTCCGTCAGAGCAGCGCCGGCCGGGGGACGATGGAAGGGCATCTTCCGGGAAGGGCTGAAGGCAAAAAAGGAAAATCTTGTCAATCTGGAATTCTGCGTCACAGTGACAATAACCTTCTAAAGTGGAGGCCTAATGAAACTTGCTCTCAGAAACACAGGCGTCGAGGCGGCTCTCTGTAAGCCAACCGAGCTCTCCAGGACACGCAAGGAAGCGCCCGGCTGGGGAAAGTGGAGGGACGGAACCCGGAGGCGCGGGGAAGAGAGGGGGCGCGGGCCACGCCAGGGACTTCCTCCCTCGTTCCCAATTACCATAAAACGAAACGGAAGGCCGACAGCGGTGATGCGGTGCGTGTCGGGGCTGGGAGCACACGCAGCCAGGTGAAGGGGAGGCAGCGGTGGCAGGGCTGCCCGCCCCCCCCCCCGTTCCCAGCCGCGAGGGCGAGCGGGCCCGGCGCCACACCCGCCGCCAGCCCTGAAGCAGCTCCCTGTTCCTCAAAACTTCCAGGAGTCCACGCCGCACTACTGCCAGCGTGAGAGGTCTCGGGCACTGGAATTAAACCTGGGAAGGCGGTTTTAAATCCGAAGCTGCGCAGACTTTCGTTTCTTGGATTACCAAGCATTCCTGGCCCAACACGAGCACGAGAAAATCTACCGATTCGACTTGGACAGAGCCAGCTGTGAGCCCCGGCCCCTGCAGCGCAGGAGGACGCTCCTCGGGGTCGCCGGACGCCGTCAAAGACCCGCTGGCACGGCCGCGGAAACCTCGCTGACCCCAGTCGCTCCGGGCGCGGGGAAACGGGGGCGTGTGTTTTCCCTCCCCGCGCGGACACAGAATGTGTGAGGGAGGCGAAGTGTGGTGCAAACCCCGGCGCCGCATTCTAATTGCTCCAACAGTAACTGCGCCTCACTTCCTTCCCGTGAGTCTTCGAGTTGTTTCTTAGACTGTCTTTTGTCCCCAGCTCGACCCACGGGCATTCTTTCCCGCCTTTTCTGGGGCACGAGGGCTGGCGTTCAGGTAAACTGTCCTGTAGCAACACTGCCCTTCCAAGAACTGCCGGCCAAGCTCCACCCCATCCCTTGCACTTTACTGCCAAGCTGGGGGGCATCGACTTAGATGCGGTTCATTTCTTCCACTGATACCGTAAGTTGCAGGTAAGCTTACCGGGTTCATCTGTCCACAGAGTTCCCACTCGCCGATACATCATATAGCAGCAGAGTCGGCTGACAAAGCATTGAGGAGCAGGGACCCTGGCTCCCGCATACCTGGGTCGAGTCCTCACTCTGCTACTCACTGGCTGTGTGACCCTGGACAAGTTCCTGAACCTCTCTGTGCCTTGCTTTCCCCACTTGTGCAGCAGGGGACGCCTATATCTTCTCCCAGGACAGCGGTGAGGCGGGTAAACTCGCACCGTCTTGCACATGGAAGGCCCGCGGCAGGTGGTCAGCGCGTGGGAGGAGCTCCCGCCCCGGGCAGCTGCGTGTTTATTCCCGAGCACGGCGCAGAGACTCGGGTTTTACCACTGAACCGAGAGCCGCTGAGTGGGCGCTCAGTGACTGGCAGATGAGCAGAGGATGCAGTTTAGTCTTCTGTCCCCCAAATGTGCACGTGGCTTTTCGCACACTTGCCTTTGACTCTCACACGCACATGGGGTGGGGACTCTGGGCCTGGCATGGGACGGGGCGTGGACAGCCCTCGGTGGTGCAGGGTGGGGCTCCCGCAGGCATCTCGGGGTTGGAGCAGGGAGACCGGCTCGGAGACGCCCCTGCGGGACCCCCGCTCGGTTCTCTCATGGCGGCGGGCAGGACGGGGCCGGGGGAACGACCTTTCCCGCAAGCAGGACCAGGAAAGGCCCGGCACTGCCGAAGGCTCCGGTCTGCGTGCAGCCCTGCCGTGCGTCGTCTGCCCGAGTCCCTCGCAGGTGAGGGGAGAGCTCCAGAGTCGGGGTGAGGGCAGCGCTCAGAGGAGTTAGGTGTGCAAAGAATCCAGAACGCCCCATGCAACGTGGTCCCCAGATTCAGGGAGCCCCGAGAGGTGTCTCGCTGCAGAGTCAGGGTGGGGGAGAACCATCGCCGTGGCGCCCGCCTCCTGGGGGCTCCCTGCCCCAGCCCAGCACCCCCACCCGTCTCCACGGCCCTCTCTGTACCTTGGCCGGGAAGGGACAGACCCTGGTGGTCTGCCAGCTCCCGTTGCCTGTGAGGTCTCCTCCTTCCAGGTGGCCATGGGGACGCGGTCCAGAGCACAGGGCTGGAGGGTGTGTCTTGTCCCTCAGAGAGGACCTGCCCCTGACCAGCCCCTGTGTCCTCCCTCTCCTCCCCCTGGCCTGAGCACACAGCGTCCGCATCTCTGGCTCTGGGCTCAGCCCAGACCTGCCTCTCTCTCGGTCAGACTGAGCGGACCCAGCACGGGGCCAGAAGGTCGAACGGCTTCTGGACACAGGTGGCCACTTCTCTGAGCCAGGCTGGGGACGAGGGACTTTGCTGGGGACAGAACAAGTCCTAGGGACCTGGGGTGCACGGGCCACCCCAGCCACGGCACAGGGCGGGAGGAGACCAGAGGGCCCAGCGTCCCTGCGGGTGGACCTTGGAAGCAGGAAACTCAATCCGGGCGTGAGTTGTTATTTATTGTTATAAGAAACGACGATTTCATAAGTGGTTGCTCTTAGGTAGGCACTATGCATGCTAGGTGCATTGTTTAATTTAATTTTTAGTACCGTACTGTGAGGCAGGAGCTCTTTATAATCATTGACTAGAAGGTCAAGGCACCTGCCCAGGGCCGGGGGCAGCAGCTCACGTCACTACGCTCGCAGGACAGCACGGTGGGGCCTGGTGGGGACGGGGCAGCGTGTTGGCAGTGACAGTGCTGGAGCCAGGCCCGGCCCTGGCGAGGACCCGAGGACTGCGGCTTTCCAGGTCAGGGTTCACAGCAGGAGCGGCGGCTGGGACAGAGGGAGTGTTCAGGGACAAGGAAGTGCTTTCTGTGACCCGTTTGGAGCTGGCTGCAAAGTCTGCCTGCAAAGCCGCTCTGTTCTTTGAAGAGAAACAAGATCACTTAAGATTTCTGCAACTTCTTTTTTAACAGAAAAAGAAAATAAACACAGTTATTATTGCTGGCGTCCGCAGGAATGCGAGGCCAGCCCGGCGGAGCGTTTGGAGTTCACTCGGGCAGAGGGACCCTGGTAAACACGGAGAGTTCCTTTTTTTAAAAGCAGTTGCTGAATTTCAGACACGCATAATGCGTGTTTGCGGAACGTCCGGTGCAATTCAGTGATGGCTTCGTGAAGGCCACCTGCCACGCCCGGACACCCAGAAGGCGGAATCCCTCAGCATCCGGGCAGCCGTGGGTTCCTCCCACTCCTGGGGATGGCAGGGGGACGGACTGATCTGTGTGTCCTCCTCCTCCCTCGTGAGCCCCTTCCCTGTCCCCATTCATTCCTTCACTCACTCATTCATTCATTCACTCATTTCCCAAACAGCCCGTGAGTGCTCACTGTGGTCCCCAGCACAGAGGTGGCCCCTGGTGGCTTTGGGGAGACCACATCCCGGTGGCCCTTCCATTCCGATAAAGCCGTTCTCTCCGGAAGCATTGCCTCCCTCCCTAGCCTGCACTGTCCCCTTTGTGCAATGAGGCCTTAGCATCGGAATCTATCTAAAAAGGGAAACAGCTGCATATTATTAGAGATTTTTTTTAAAAGATAAAAAGTATTCAAGCCTCCAAAGAAAAGAATATCCATCTCTCTGCGTCCTCACCAGCCAGCGTGAAATGCTGTAACCATTTTAGGAAAGAAATCTTGCAACATTGCATTGCGTATTAAGACTAGAAAAAAAAAACATATTCTTTTTTTCTTTTTAATTTCAGAATATTATGGGGGTACAAACATTTTGGTTACATGTAATGCCTTAGCCTCGCCCAAGCCAGAGCTACAAGCTTGCCCTTCCCCCATACAGTGCGCTCTGCACCCGGTAGTTGTGAGTTTACCCTCCCCCACCCCCTCCCGCGTGACCGGCACCCGATGATGATGGTTACTCCACGTGAGCACCTTGGTGCTGCTCAGTTAGTGCCAGCTGGACGGCGAGTTCACGCGGTGCTTGTAAAACACCCACATTCTTTGACTCATCGATTCCACTTTCAGGTCTCTATTCTACGGAATAAGACCATTCCCGTGTAAACACTGGAATACAAACATTTTTATTTTCAGACTTAAAACGGCAAAAAAAGTAACCGCCCCGCATGTTCATCCACGGGGGCAGAGCTGAACAGATTATTCCAAGTCCCAACGCGGCGGCTTATGTGTCTACTTAAGGTGGTGAATTGGGATATCCGCGTCCGTCGGGGAAGATGCCACGATTCGGCGACACAGGGCGTGCTGGTGAGCAGCAGGCACGGCGGGTCCGCGTTTCTGTGCGCGGAGCGACGGCGGCCGTGCCCGCACCGTGCAGAGACAAACCGTGGGCGGAGGCGCCTGAGACCACAACCATCGCCCTCGCGGGAGGAAGGCCGGGGCGGCCGGGGACGTTCTGAGCGATTGCAGTGCGCGGACCTCTCTCTCTCTTTTTAACGCCTTACAGCAGACATCTGTTACTTTTAAAGAGAAAAAAGGAAAGAAAAGGAAGTCCAATAACGTAGCAAAAGTGAGTCACAACAGCAGCAAGAAAAGAAAAAGACCCAACGGGAAAGTTGCCAGTGGGGCGTGTCCGTCCCCGCCGGGCGCCGTGGCGACGCCGCGTGCTGCGCTGGGCCGGGGGGCACACGGGGGAGGCCTCATGGGCCGCTGGCTCTCGGCCCGGCTGGGGAGCGGCCCTGTGTGAGTGGACACGCGGACACGGAGCACCACGGAGGGCAGGGGCTGGGCTGCAATGACACTGAATTGCAGTCGGATGTCGTTTTTATGTGACACAAATGCTGGTCTTTGACTTTTTTTTTTCAGCCTTTTAAAAATGAGTCATGGGCCACTCAAGTTAGGAAACCAGAATCAGCACATTTGTTTTCTTAATTAATTAATTAATTAATTTTTGAGACAGAGTCTCGCTCTGTTGCCCGGGCTAGAGTGAGTGCCGTGGTGTCAGCCTCGCTCACAGCAACCTCAGTCTCCTAGGCTCAAGAGATCCTCCTGCCTCAGCCTCCCGAGTAGCTGGGATTACAGGCATGCGCCACCATGCCCAGCTAATTTTTTCTGTATATATTTTTAGTTGGCCAATTAATTTCTTTCTATTTTTAGTAGAGATGGGGTCTCACTCTTGCTCGGGCTGGTTTGGAACTCCTGACCTTGAGCGATCCGCCTGCCTCGGCCTCCCAGAGTGTTACAATTACAGGCGTGAGCCACCGTGCCCAGCTAGAATCAGCCCATTTAACTTTAGAAAAATATAACCCTCTCGTCCCAATCCCGATGCCTGAAACCAGCAGACAAGGTTTAATTCAGAAAAGCGAGTGCCTAACGAGGGCAAGAAAGGAGGAAGGGAAGACAGGCCGGGTGGTGTGGGCCGTGTGCCCTGCATGTCCCTCCTCACAGTGAAGATGTGTAGCTCAGGAAAAAGTGAAAACCATTCTGACCTAGTGCCCGTCCGCCAGGGGGCTGTGGGCCACATGTGGCCGTGGTCACTTGCCCCTTGCCCTGGACCCCCGCCCGCCCTGGGGCTGCACAGACTAAGGCGGCAGGTTCATGCCCCGCAGACAGGAGCAGGCAGGTCGAGCTTTGGGAGGAAGAGAGACTCCCCGACACCCTCCTCCCCTCCCCCACCACCTGCAGTGACGCCTGGTCCCCTCGAGGCCACCGTCTGCTCCCGCCTGCTGCCCTATGTGTTCCGGCCAGGCTGCTGGGACCCGTGCAAGCCGCCTGCGCCGGGTCCCTCTGACCTGAAGAAGCGCGGGAGGTTTCCCGCCTGCCCCACTGGCACCGCCCGGGCACTTTTCCCTAGCGAGGGAGACTCAGCTGGCGTCTCGGGTTCTGGGCCACGGCAGCTCCGTTTCCATCCAGCCACGGCTCGGGTGACGCTGCGCCTTCGAAGTGGCTCGTTCACAGACAGAGTCGGGAAGGGCCGGGCGTCCCCCCACACTTTCATGTTTCAGGAGGGGAATGATCCCATCGTCCTCCGGAGGGCGGGAAGGGGTCTTGGCTCGGCCGGGGTGGCAGGAGCCCTGGGCCACCTGCAGGGACAGCCCCAAGCCGTGAGCCATGGAGCCCAGGCTGGGCAGGGACCCCTCCCCGAGTCCCCCAGACTCAGGACAACAGCGACCTCTTTAATGGTCCAGCTGAAACCACGCTAGTCCAATACCGCGACGTCCGAAAATGGAGAGTGGAGAAATGATTTTTCTGTTCTGACCACGCAGTTTGCACCTTATTACTTTGGGGAGATTTGCTGCAACCTTCAATAGATCCCTGTTGACCCCATTGAAGTTAAAACATCATTAAAGATAAAAAGAGCGTTTGCGCGTCGACACCCCCAGGCTCTCAGGGTTAGCGGGAGAGGCGCCATCCCTAAAAGCCGACTGTTTGCCTCGGGAGGGATCTGACTGATGCACCTGGGCGTGGGAGGTGACGTTGCTGGACCCCACGTGGCAGCCCTGTTTTCTCAGGTCGCTGGGCCTCATTCTTAAGGAAAAATAGGATGTTTTCTCCCGTATTTAGAAGGTGCCTGCGACTGTAACGGATTCTCATTCCAGCTTAGGCTTCCCCTCTCGGGAATGTGCCTATTGATGAAATCTGCTCCAATTGCAAATGGCGCTTCTGCTGAAAAACAGAACCAAAAAACCGCAAAAGCAAGACAGGAAGTGCGGAACAGGAAAGCATGAGCTCGTGTGGACGGGAGAGCAGGAGGAAGGGGGAGCCTTCTTCCCCAGCCCCGCCGAAAGCCCGGGGAGAGGAGCGGTGGCCCGAGGAGCAAGGTGGCGTGGCCGAGCCTTGCAGAACGCGTGCACCGTGCCCCGGCGGGTGCTGGACGGGCAGCCACGCAGGTGCGAAGCCAGCGCCCCTCCCCCGACGTAACTCAGAGCACAGGCACGCTCAGTGACCCCAGCGTTGGAAATACGAGGAAGCCGGCCAGAGGCAGTGGCAGGTGCTTGGTCCACGGTACTGGGCTGATTCTGAAATCTTGGATTCTTCAGTTCGGATAGAAATTTAAATTGAATCCAGCTCTTCTGTGGTCCATCTAGAGAGCTTTTCCCGTTCCAGGAAATCACACGGGCAGGTGAGGCAGGCCACGTGCAGAGGTGGTAGACACGGCCGCAGGTAGAGGATTAGGCCTGCTCTGGTCAGAAGGGACCAGTCAAAGGAAAACCTTCCGGTTTAAGGAGGGAAACAGGGACCATTGTGTGCTCCGGAAAGATCTCCTCACTCCAGAAAGTGCCTTTCCAAACCACAGGGCATATTGCAGCAGGGTCTTAACCTTTTGTCTGAAAGTGGCAGGCACTGACCGTTCTAATGCATGGGACCTCTCTACTTGGCCCCCAAACCAGAAACCGATGGCACTCAAAAGTCGTCTCTCTCTCCCAGAACACGCAGGTCGATGGTTGGCGTCGACTTTAGGGCAGCTCATGTGTGTAAGCCGGATGTTTCCTCTTCATCCTCTGAAGGCGCCTCTGTGGCTCTCTGTGAAGTGGGGGGCGCTCCTGTTGCCACGTGGAGGACGGACGAGAGAGGCACGCAGGTGTCCCAGGTGAGCACCGGCCCGCAGGTGTCCCAGGTGAGCACCGGCCCCCAGGTGTCCCAGGTGAGCACTGGCCCGCGTGTGGGGAGCCGCCTGTGGCCTTGGCTCCTGCGCCGAGAGTTTGCTCTGCGGATGAGGTCCCTGAGCCTGGGCCGCTCTTGGCAGCCACCATTCCCCACTCCCAGGTGGAGCAGTAGGCTGAGAAGGACGCTCACCTCGGAAGCCCAGGCTTGACTCCCACCAGCTCCGCCAATGGATGTGGCACACCCAGACACGGAAGTTCTGGAACCAGCCCACGTGATTAACGACGGCTTCTTGCTCAGCGTTCACTCTAAGGACCCTCAGCCCCGGGCTTCCCTTTTAGGGGTGGACTATTTCCCTGTTCCGGAAAGTTCCCTCATGCCCTTTTGCTTGCAGTCAACATCCCCTCACCTCCAGCCATCGGCCACCACCGATCTGACTTTGCCTCCGCAGTTTTGCCTTTTCCATGATGCCACATATGTGGAATCGTGTAATGTGCATTCTTTATTTTTTTTTGAGACAGAGTCTCACTCTGTTGCACAGGCTAGATTGCTGTGGCGTCAGCCTAGCTCACAGCAACCTCAAACTTCTGGGCTCAAGCAATCCTCCTGCCTCAGCCTCCCGAGTAGCTGGGACTACAGGCATGTGCCACCATGCCCGGCTAATTTTTTCTATATATATTAGTTGGCCAATTAATTTCTTTCTATTTATAGTAGAGACGGGGTCTCGCTCTTGCTCAGGCTGGTTTCGAACTCCGGACCTTGAGCAATCCGCCTGCCTTGGCCTCCCAGAGTGCTAGGATTACAGGTGTGAGCCACCGCGCCCGGCCATGTAATGTGCATTCTTTTCTGTGGGGTTTCTCTCGCTTGTCAGGCTGATACTGAAAACCAGGCGTGTGACTGCGTGTGTCAGAAGTTGTTCCTTTTTATGGCTGAGTCGTGCCCCGGGGCAGGGACACTGTGATCTGCTTTCCCACTTAGAGCTGAGGGACTTTTGTGTTGTTTTCAGTTTCTGTTTTTATTATGAATACATCTGCTTCAGATGTTCATATACAGAACTTTCGTGTTCATGTGCCTTCATGCCTCTTGGGTAAATACCTAGGAATGGCATGTTGTGTGGTAAGCAGAGAGTGTGTCCACCTGTCCAGGGCGCTGCCAGGCTGTCTTCTGGCTAATGTTTTTTTTTTTTTTGTTCTATTTTTTTATTTTTAGTAGAGATGGCATCTCCCTCTTGCTCGGGCTGGTCTCAAATTCCTGACCTCAAGTGGTCCTCCCACCTCGGCCTCTCAGAGTGCTAGGATTGCAGGCGTGAGCCACCACACCCAGCCTCCATCTGTCTTCTAAAGTAGATTTCTGATAAGCAGCATATTGGTGGGTACTGTTTTTTTAGTGTAGTGTGATCATCTCTACCTTTTCACTGGAACATTGAGACCTTTTACATTTTGTATAATATTTGATGTGGCTGTGTCCTATTTGTGCGTTGTTCCTTTTTTCTCTTGTTCTGCTTTCTTTTGGATTAATTGAACATATTTTTACAATTTCATTTTACTTAACCTATGAGCTTACCGGTCATCATCCTTCCAGGGGATCCTGCAGCGACTGCTCCGAGGCACAGGGCTTGTACTCTCGGCCCTCACGAGGACACGGCCGTCTCAGCTTGAGAGCTCGGCTGGGGAGAGAGTGTCCTGTCCTGTCGGCAGCTCATGCCTTCTGCTGCATCCTGGAGAAGGTGACGGAGCTGGGCTGGGTCCTGCTGTGCCCCTGGGGGTCTTGCCTGGGTCTCCTGCCCTCCGTTTGCTCCCAGGAGCACGCGGCAGCTAGTGCAGGCCTACGGAAAAGACCGGAGCCTGAACGCCGACTCCCTTGGTGTCTGGGGTCTGCCAACCAGGACCCCGGCCTGCATTTTGCTTTTAAGAATTGATAAAACCCTTGGCTGCCTTCTTTTCATCTGCCTCCAGGGCCACAGAAGCTTCCGTCGAGAATCATCTGAGGCTTTCTGGGTTCCTTCGTTCTGCTAATGCAAGAAGCCAGGGGCAGATGGTAGGATGGTAACAGATGGAGAAGAAACCAGAAGGACTCAATTTATACTTTCTTTTTCATCTCCTCTATGTAAAAAGTGGTGTTCAAACAGAAAGGACCGAGACAACTTGTGAGAACCGAAGTCTCAAATAGGAACTCACAGGAGACACCTGCTTTCTGCAGCAGGGTAGAAGTGGTCAGGCCCAGATGATCGGAAACATCTTGGAAATGAGGCTTCGGAGCTCTCGGAGGCGATCCCTGTGGCATCTTGAAGAATGAGAGAAGGTCTCGGGAGAAAAGAGGTGGACAGGTGTCCCGGCACTCAAGGTGGGAGCAAGGGTCACAGTAAAGCCACCGGTGAGCGAACTTGCTATCTACTGGTGGACAATTTTGGTCTAGATGTACACAGATGTCTTGGTAAATCCTAGCACTCTGGGAGGCCGAGGCAGATGGATCGCTCGAGGTCAGGAGTTCAAAACCAGCCTGAGCAAGAGCGAGACCCCGTCTCTACTATAAATAGAAAGAAATTAATTGGCCAACTAAAAATATATAGAAAAAAACTGGCCGGGCATGGTGGCACATGCCTGTAGTCCCAGCTACTCGGGAGGCTGAGGCAGTAGGATTGCTTGAGCCCAGGAGTTTGAGGTTGCTGTGAGCGAGGCTGACACCACGGCACTCACTCTAGCCTGGGCAACAAAGCGAGACTCTGTCTCAAAAAAAATAAATAAATAAAAATAAATAAATGAATAAATCCTAGGACAGAAAGGAGCAAGCACCGGGTCATTTACAAGCAAGAGCCTTTCCCGGGTGATCTTAGCTCCCCTGCAAACATGCACATATGGTGGGAGCTTCCCTGTGTCTCCACTCCGGTCAGGCCTCGGGTCTCCTACGGGACTCAGTGGGGCCGGGGGGGAGGGCGGGGTTAGAAATAAGGCACTTAGGCGAGTTCAGATCTGACCGAATGATTCCGTCTGATGTGTGAAGGCCAGCTTTGAACACGCCTGGCTTGGTCTGGGGCTTTGTCCTTGGATCTAGTCTGCTAAAACTTTGTCATCAGTGATCTGGGTGGTGGTGTCCATCCACGTGCACACTTCTGTGTCTAAAATAATAAAAATGTGGTCACCAAATACCCACCCAGATAAATAAGGCAGTTTGGATGACAGTGCAGGGCTGTGATACAGGTTTTCTCTTTTCCTTCTGTGTGTGTTCCCGAGGTCCTCACTGCATCTAGGGAGATATACATAGCTAGACGGCTATGTATATGGTGCCAGAAGAAGAGAAAATTCAACTTTAAAATAAAATGTGAGCTCTGTAAGAATGTGGAACCTTCCCAGTTATGAACTGTTTGTGAAACCAAACCCAGAAGCATGCAAAGTCCCTCTGCAAATCTGCACGATTAGACCAGATCTTCCTCCAGGACAGGTAAGTCCCTTGCTAGACTCGCCTCAGCCCTGCCCAAACTTAGGAAAGACCCTGAACCCTCAAGAGAACCCAGGGACCTGGGGACTGTTGCAGGCCCCCCAACACCCCCGGGCCCTCCTGGCAGAGGCTGGGCAGGCCACCCACGTCCGTGTGGGCAGCCCCAGCCTGGGAGCCCCTCCAATGCAAGGGTTGGATTTCCCATTTTCTCTGTGGCTCCTTATAACTCACAGCTAAGTGTTTTGGACAAGCATGTACAAAAGAAAATAGATTGGTTGTTAAAACTATTTGAAACACTGCAATAGCATCATGCTACCAGCCATATGTACAACAAACATTTTAATTTTTAGCAGTTTCCCCAAACGTCGTATAAACCTGTGTTGAAACTGCTCTCGAGTCTGACTCCCAGTTCTCATGGTCACAGCCGTAACGGAACGGGAGCCTCCTGCGCTCCCGCCTCAAGCAAGGTGCCCTACCACGTGGAGTCCGTGCCGCCTCGGACCGGTCTGTGGGCCGGCAGGTGGCCGGGAGCCGTGGGCGGCAGGGAACTGCAGAGCGTCTGCAAACCACAGACAGAGCTGAGCTGGAGAGCTCAGTCTCAAATAGTAGGCGTGGGGTGCCGCTGTGGAAGTGGGGGCCCCGGCTTGTGAAGCATTCTGATCCAACTCAGCAAACGCCGGCACTTCTGAGACATCTCAGCACGTGGAACGAAACCGTAGGGCCGGCAGAGGGAAGAGGCCACCCGGGCGGTCCTGCAGGTGAGTCATCAGAACCTGCACCTGCTCCTCCCGAGGTGGCTCAAGGAAAGGCGTCCCTCAGTCCCTCCCTGTCTCTCTCCCCAGCTCCTTCCCCAGACACCAGGGGTTGGCGTAGAGCGAGTGAAGGGCTTCCCCGGAGACCCGTGCCCGGCTCACACACTGAGACGGGGCACCTTCTTGTGCTACCTGCAGCTCACAGCCGATCCCGGCCCGAGTGACCCCGGCAAGGCGCTTCCTGATTATTGGGTGGGATTCTGCTGCCTCCTGCGTGGATTCTCTCTTTGCAAAATGGTTTTGACAACCTTGCTCATGGGCCGCAAGCAGCTCAGGGTAAGACGTGCTGACTTGCCTTGGCAACACCAGAGGGGCACCCTTTTCAGGCTCTGCTGCCATCCCATGCCACATTGGAACGCTTTTCCCTGTTCCTAGCATTTCGGAGACTGTTCCCAGAAAACAACAGCATAGCCCCGTGTCATGTTATATTTAATTGCATGATGTCAGTCTCCCTTCAAAGAATGTCGAAAGGTCGTATTATAAAATAACAAGCGTGAGGAAATGACTGACTCAAGAAGCTTAACTGTCGTAAATATTCCTGCGACATAAATAAATCAGCGAACCTCTGTTGAGCGTGCTGACCACGTGTAATGCAGCAGTAACCTTGGAAAAAACTCGGATTTACAAGAGCCCAGGCCTCACACACGGCAGCTGACATGGCTGCGCATCTGAAACCCGCTCATCCCGGAGAAGCCAGGTCCCCGCACCAGATGTCCGCGCTGCCGTTTCCGAATTCAGCTCCGTGTGCGGACGCACGCTGTGCACTCTATGCACGGTCTCCCAACACCTGCTTGGGGTTTGCGGCAGACGTCTGAACTCGCGCTGAATTAAGCCGTGTCCCGTGTGTTTAGTGACAGGTGAGGAGGTCACAGAGCATGTTCTGGTCACTGCCGACCCGCCTGGCGCTCTCCGGTGCTCCGGGGAGAGCTCACGCCTGGCCGCAGTGTCATGCACAGGACACGTGTGAGCTGTGCGTGTGGTGAGGGGGCGGCACGACCCTCGCCCGGCCACGGCACGGTCGGTACCGGCTCCGTTCGGAGCTCGCCGAGCCCCGTGGCCTCTGTGTGGCTGGGAAGAGGCCCAGGGAACGAGGCCCCTTCGCCCCTCGCAGGGCAGGTGGTCTGTGTGGGGAGACGAGGCCTTCGCTGGAGTCCTCGGAGTTAGTTCTCGGATTTAGCGGCTCTGCCTAATCCAAGGTCAAGGCCGTCAAAAGGGTCTGGCAGGCCGGAAGGAGCTCGAGACACGTGTCGTCTGCAGACAGGCCGCAGCAGCCTGGGGTGCACCAGTTCCTGGTGTTTTCCACCTGCTTGAATATCCCAGTCACTGCTCAGTGTCCCCGCCGGGCCACCAGTTCCTGGACGACACCTGATCCAGCCCGGGCAGCCCCGGGAAGCCGCTCTGGGGCAGCGCTGGGCACGCTGTGGGGGAGGGGGCCTGCTCAGAGCGCGGCGAGGGTGCGGCTGGCCGGCCCCAGGGTGGGCCCCACCTGGCCAGCTTGGAGCGCCGGCTGGACTCGGGAGGGCTCCCTCCGGCGTGAGCTTGTCGTCGTGGTGCTACGGTCTCCAGGGCTGCCGTGACAGAGGGCCATGAACAGGAGGACAAAAGCAACAGAGATTTATTCTCGCTCAGCTCTGGAGGCCGAAAGTCTGACGTTAAGGTGTGGGCAGCGTTGGGGGGCTCTGGGGCTCCGGGGAGAACACGTCCACACCTCCTCCAGCTTCTGGAGCCGCCTCAGCCCTGGGGCCCCGGCTGGTCACGCGTCGCCCCAGCCTCACCTCCGTCCTCATGCGGCGTTCCTGGGGGTGCATGTACCCCTCCTCTCAGCAGGACCCAGTCACAGTGGGTGAGGGGAACCTACTCCAAACAACCTCATCTCACACTAGGGCAATCTCGGTCTGCAACCGCGGGTATTTCCAAATCGAGGTCAGCGTGAAGGACATCGAAATTTGGGCGGGGAAGCTTCAGTGCATTGCCGTCGTGGTTTCCCGGCCCCGGGCTAGGAGCAGCGGCTGGTAACTTAGGCTTCTGCGTTCTGCAAAGGTCTGGGCTTGAGACAGGACGCACTGGTAGATGATTGGGAGTGAGAGGGGCGGCAGGAAGCTCAGGCCATAGTCCCAGGGGGGAAAGAAGACGCCCTCTCCTGGGGCAGGGGCGGCGGGAGTGGCGGGGCAAAGCGCATGCTGCCTGTCATGGGTGTCGTGTGAGTGTCACTCCACGCTGGCAAGCACTACCTGCCTCTCAGTCGGATTCGAGAGACCAGAGCGCGACTCAAGAACACCTAAGAACCTTGAATAAATGGCTCGTGACAACCAAGTAATAAACTGCCGCTACCGCCCAACAAAATCGCAAAGGATCCTTTTTTTTTTGACAAGAGTTGCTTTGTTGCCCAGGCTAGAGTGAGTGCCGGTGCCGTCAGCCTAGCTAGCACTAACTTGGGCTTCAGGTCGATCCTCGCTGCCTCAGCCTCCAGACGAATACTCACAGGCAAGCGCCACAATCAGCCTGGTAATTTTTTATGATAATAGTGGGCCAATCTAATCTTCTTTTTATTATAGCCTAGAGACGGGGTCTCGCTGCTTGCTCAGGCTGGTCTGGAACTCCTGAGCTCAGTGATCACGGCGCCGGCTCAGCCTCAGGAGTGCTAGGATAAGGCGTGAGCCACCGGGGCTCTGCAGGGAATCTTACTGGCCGAGGATGGCGCATGATACAAAAGAGGCCGACGGAGGCAAGACCCCCACGTCCTCCTGTTCTCGGCACCACCATGCTCAGGTGGCCTGCCTTTTGTTGACCACGAGCGGAACCGTGGACTCACGCCATCAACACCAGGCTTGGCGGCTGGACTGGTCCCTCTGCTAACCCAGCTGCTCACCAGGCGGCAACATCTGGTCAACCCTCTCTCTAGAGAATCTTCTTGGCGGCGGCGGTGGCTCACCAACATGTCATCTACGCACTCCGAACTGGGAAGGTTGGAGCGCGGGCGGCATCACTCAGGTCAGGAGTCTCGACGAAGCCTGAGCAACAGAGAGAGGCGACACCCGTCTCTCTTCAAATCAGTAGAAAGACATTAATTGGCCATTAACAAATACAATCACATAGAAAATTAGCCGGGACGCATGGTGCACATGCCTATAGGTTCCAGCTACTCGGGAGGCTGAGGCAGGAAGCGATGTTCTTTGAGCCCGGGAGTTAGAGTTGCTGCGAGCTAGCTGGACGCCACGGCACTCGAGCCGGGGCAAAGAGGTGAGACTCTGGTCTCAATAAATAAATACATAAGATAAGAAAGCTCGCTTCCTTAGGAAATCAAGACGACTTTTATCGCAGCTGGTGGGAAGGTGATCCTCCGAGCGCGCAGGCCTTACTGCTCAGCACTTGGGTTAGCTTTGGCTGGGCACCGCTTTTCAGAAATGAACCGCACGACCTTTTGCTTTCCTCCTATTATCATGGCTAATGGCGTGACCCTGATGGTGTCACCAGCTTGGTGCAGTTCATGGGAACTCAGCATGCATTCTCCTTGTAACTGGGAGACCCTCCTGCTGACCTGCAGATTAGGAGGTTAACTGAGACTTCTGTGTCTACATCCTAATCTGCGTGTGTAAGGCATTCTAAATCGTTATCTCTCCCAGCCGGGCAGCGCTTAATTGCTTTTCTGAAGGCAAAGGCTGGCCTGCTCAGGATGGACTGCAGGGCAGGAAGGTCCTGATAAGCCCAGGGTGGCAGGAAACAAGGATGATTTGTGCAGGGTGGTGTTCCGGGGGCACCCAGGCAAATGCGCCTGGGCTCCGGCTCTGTGCCGATTGTTTCAACCTTTCTCGAGGATTTTATGAAGAGTTTCACATCGATTTTGGTTTCAAACTTTTGTGTGCCACTTATGAAATCAGAAGGACAGGTGATGGTTTATTTTTAAAAATAAATTACCTAGATGCAAAAGGGTTATTTTTCAAACATTAGACAATTGGCACATGTCAATAAAACACAGGGCAGATGTGCACCGAATCTCCATATTTGGAGGGAAAGTTCTTTCTAGCACGACTTTCATTTCTGACAACCCTGAGCACTGGGCACCTCTGGCACCATCTGCCGTGTGGCAGGAAAGCAGAGTGGTTGGAAGTCAGTCCAACCCTGGCTCAAGGCCCAGATCTAACATTGACCAGCTGCGGTCCAGGTCCAGGTAGGAACATCCTGAGTCTTCCCTGCCTTCTCTATGAAAGCCAGGGAATGCTGTGCAGTGCTTGTGGACCACTTGGCACAGTGTCCATACACGGGAGGCTCACTCCACAGCAGGCTCTGCTGGAGATGGTGGTGATGGCCACCGTGATGCTGATGATTGTAACCGTGATAGTTACGATGATGATGGTGCTGATGGTGATGTTGTGATGATGGTGATCATGAGAGTGAAGATGGTGATGATGATAGTGATAATGGTGATAGTGATGGTCATGATGGTGGTGATGGTGGTAACGGTGATGGTGGTGATGGTGATGATGGTGGTGGTGATGGGTATGGTGGTGATGGTGATGATGATGGTGATGGTGGTGATGATGGTGATGGTGATGATGGTGGTGGTGATGGGTATGGTGGTGATGGTGATGGTGATGATGATGGTGATGGTGGTGATGGTGATGATGGTGATGGTGGTGATGATGATGATGGTGGTGATGATGGTGATGGTGGTGATAATGGTGGTGATGATGATGATGGTGGTGATGGTGATGATGATGGTGGTGGTGATGGTGATGGTGGTAATGGTGGTGATGATGATGGTGGTGATGATGGTGGTGGTGGTGATGATGATGGCGGTGATGATGATGGTGGTGATGGTGGTGGTGGTGATGATGATGGTGGTGATGATGGTGATGGTGGTGATGATGATGGTGGTGGTGGTGATGATGATGGTGGTGATGATGGTGATGGTGGTGATGATGGTGGTGGTGGTGGTGATGATGATGGTGGTGATGATGATGGTGGTGATGATGGTGATGGTGGTGATGATGGTGGTGGTGGTGGTGATGATGATGGTGGTGATGATGGTGATGATGATGATGGTGATGGTGGTGATGATGGTGGTGGTGATGGTGATGATGATGGTGGTGATGGTGATGGTGATGATGATGGTGGTGGTGATGGTGATGGTGGTAATGGTGGTGATGGTGATGATGATGGTGGTGATGATGGTGATGGTGGTGGTGGTGATGATGATGGTGGTGATGATGATGATGGTGGTGATGATGGTGGTGATGATGCTGATGGTGGTGATGAAGCTGATGATGGTGGTAATGATGCATTTAACATCTGCACAAGACCTTGAGTTAGGGCTAATATGCTGCCATTTTGATTTCTAACATCTTATCAGCATACATTTTTCTTTCCAACTATGTCTTTAAGGAAGGACACTACGAGTATCTTTATAAAAATATAACGAGTATATTTTTATACCTCCCACTGTAAATAACAAGCATCGTCCGTATACTATTTGTCATTTGTTTAATACTTTAGTGCTCCCACTATAACCCTATTTTCCTTTGACCCCTTGCTTTGTATCAGTACCACTTTGCCAGAATTTCTAAAGACGACCTGAGCTTGGGCCATTCTGGGGGCGTGTATGCATGTCGAGTGACCCCACACAGAAGGTGTCCCCTTTGGGGGAGTCTGAATGGCCCACATTTGACTCACCATTTTCTGGCGCTGGCCCCTCCTGCCAGTGGTTAGAGAGCTTTGACGCCGTTAGTGCCTGGGCCTCCCGGGGCCCTGCACACACCGCCTGAGTGTGTCTCCTCACTGTGGGTCGGGCTCAGCGCCCAAGAGCAGCTCCATTGTCCCAGTGAGCCCAGCGGCCAGGAGCATGGTGTTCCCTCAACTTCATTTTGGGAAAGCTTTGTGTTCCTTAATCATTCTCCAATCATTAAGGAAAATGATTTGTCGGTACAAGGTGAGTGACCTTTATTCAAAATGCTTGGGACGAGAAGCATTTGGGAGTGTGGATTTTTTGGATTTAGGAATAATATCTGCATCATACTTACTGATTGAACATCCTAAATCTGCAAACCTGGAATGCTCTTTGGAACATTTTTCTTGACTTTTGTGTCAGCACTCAGAAAGTATCAGATTTGGGAGCATTTCAAATTTTGTACTTTCAGATTTGGGACGCTCAGCCTGCAGTATTGAGGGAAATGGGAAGAGGGGAACATCCGTATAAAATGGTCTCTTTTCACCTGTTCTGCTTTTACCTGATTCCCGCCCTGCACCCTGCGTTGCTTCAGGAGGTGGATGACAGACACCCCAAACCGCCGGCTTCGCTGCTCCTCTCCCACGGGCGGCCGGGCCCGGCCTTGCGATCTGCTGACTGCAGAATGTGCAGCGTGCTGTCACGTGGGTCCCAGGGCAGAAGCCCCAGGGTGTGCCATGTGTCCTTGTCCTCTTGGCCCTGAGGCCACCGTGTCGTGAAGAAGCCTGGGAGGAAAGCACCAGGCCGGCGAGGGCTGCTTCTCAGGGTGCTGCCAGCCCCCCCGGCAGAGAGCTGGCCACCCCGGGGAGCCGGGGCGACTGCAGGAGAGCCGGCCACCCCGAGTCGTGGGAAATGACCCACTGTTGCCTCCCGCCGCTGGGCACCGGGCTGGCTTGTCATGGAGCAATAAATAGCTGAACATCTGTAGATTTTTTTCTCCTTGTTTCTGCACGATCTTTATAGTTTTCATTATGAATGGCTAAATAATACACCATCCTGTTGTTTTACCAAAACATACCATGAACTAAAATATAATAAAATCCTAAGTTCTCCCCACCAAAGAAAACCTTGTAGCTGAGCTGTGGGCCATGAGGATCAGGGAGTTCAGACACGCCTAGCTATGACCTGTCCCTTTGGAGTTATTCTTTGTAACAATAAGATGCAAAATCATTAACAGGTCTAAGGCCACACAAGACCACGGTGAAACCGCACCTGCAGGCCACCAATTTACTTAACAGATCACGTGAGTCTCTGTTCACGTCCTGCGGCTCGCCTCTGATTCCTGGACTTCCTTATAACATTCCAGGCCTTTAGACAAAGCTCCATGTCTTTGACCAATTACAAGTCAAAGAATCTGTAAACCCACCTATAACCTGCACGTCCCCACTTTGAGATGTCCCACCTTTTCGGGCCAAACCCCTGAATTCCCTCCGCATACTGACTCGGGACCTCACCTGTAATTCCCGTCTCCGTGAGAGCATAAAACCCAACCAACACGGCCACGGCGGCACATTTTCTCGGGACCTCTTGAGGCCACGTGCTCTGGGCCCGTCACACACATTTGGGTCAGAATAAGCCTCTTGAAATAGACCATCCTCCAGAAACTGAGCTAGGTGAACAGTTCTTAAACATCACACCAGGAGCACAGTCACGATTCCTCAAAGAAAGAATATATAGAAATTAGACCTCGCCAACATTCAAACCTTTTATAGCAGCGTTATTCACAAGAGCCGGAGGGGGGAAGCCACTCGAGTGTCCTCGTGGATGAACAGTGAACAAAACGTGGTCCGTACATACCAAGGAAGACCGTGCGGCGTTGAAAAGAAGCCAGTTCTGACACATGCCACTGTGGGCATGACCCTTGGGGACACTGTGCTCAAGCTCTGTGTGTGTGGCAGTCTTAGTTGTGCAAGAGGAAAGGTCCTGGAGACTGCCGTGCAGCAATGGGAAACACTCGACACTCTTGCTCTGCACTTAAAAATGGGGGAGATGATAAATTCTACATTATGCCAGGTGCCGGGACGCGGCCGCTTGCCACCTCCCCGTTGCTCCTCATGTCCGCGGGCCAGCGCTGCACGTGGCTGGTTGGAGAGCACGCTGCTGGGGCCGCGCCCTGCGGTAGAGCCGCCCGGGCCCGTGTGCCACTGGGGCCCTGTGTGCTGGAATGCTCCAGGCCCACGTGCTTCTGGGCCCCGCGCGCTGACGTCTGCTGTCCAGACCTCGCTCGGTATTGGATGTTAAAGCTTGTTGCAGATTGATTGGAGGTTAAAGCTTGTAGTTGATTGGATGTTAAAGCTTATTGCTGATTGGATGTTATAGTTTGTAGTTGATTGGACGCTTTTTGAGCCCTGCCAAGGGTATAAAAGCAGGGGAAGAACAAGGAAAGGGGGTCAGGAGATGGGAAGACGTGAAAAGAGCCGTAACCCTTGCCGTGCTGAGCCTGCTGTGGAGGAATAAAGCCGGTTCTCCGAATCTTCATGTGCTGCTCGGTTCTTTCCCCGGTCAAGAGCTGTAACACTAGCTGTACACTTGCCCAGGTATTCGCATTTTACCGCAATTACAAAAAAAAAAAACACAACAAAATCAAATAAACTCATGTTTTCTTCAAAGCAATGCAAACCCTTTGCACTTCAAAAGGTTCCTGAGAGAGAGAGACTATTGCAAAACACATGTCTGATAAAGCACTTCTGTCTAGAATATCCAAATAGCTCTTACGTGTAAATAAGATGAATCCAGTTAAAAATGGGCAAAAGATTTGAACAGATACACCTGCAAAAAAATACACACGAATGGCCAAGAAGCACGGGAAGCGACGGCCAGCGTCATCATACCCCCGGGAAACGCGGCGAAACCAGAGTGAGACGCGGTTTCCCACTCGGCCGGGACGGCTGCAATAACAGTGATTCGAAAGGCGTCGCCGAGGGCGCGGAGAAGCAGCAGCCCCGCCCGTCCCCAGTGGGAACCGAGAGGGCGCGGCCTCCGGGGAAAACAGTCTGTCGGTTCCCCAACCTGAGCGTCTGCTCGTGGGAACGAAGAGCCGTTATCCGTCCCGAGAAACGGACGAACAAGCCGGGGGATCCGTGCACCCAGACGCTGCGTTGAAAGGCGTGAGGCGCTGGGACGTGCTGCGTGCGACATAAAGAAGGACCTCAGAAATCCGCGCTGGGAGAGGGAAGGCAGAGCGCACGCCAGGGCCGCATCCACACGCAGTGGCCAGAAAAGACAGCGCCCCAAGGACAAAGGGGGGACTAGCGGTTGCCTGGGCGGGGGCCAGCGCGGCGGGAGCAGCCGTGAACGGCACGCGGGACCTCGCCGGGCGGCGAACGGTGTTCTGAGACCAGTTTACGGTGACGGTCCCGCAACGTGGCAAATCTGCTAAAAAAAAAAAAAAAACAATAAAATTTCAAGCATGTACATTTGAAATGGTCATGCTGTGCAAAACATGCCTCAAAAAAATCACTTTTAACCCTTCGCACTCGCCTGCTTTTCTTCTCATCATCCCCTCGACATTATCCACACTTGACATCCGAGCGCAAAGGGTTAAAGACCACGCCAGAAAACGGCTACGCCACACGCGTTGCTGCAGGGTCTGTATTGCCCCTCCAAAGAGCGAAGCACGTGATCTGCTGATTTCTCTATTATTTATGAATATGTTGTGTGACATCATGAATCATTAAAAACAGTGGTGGGAAAAACAAAGGACGTTGGTGCCAGATAAAGGCCTGGTGGCGCCAGGAAGCGCGACTTGCAGTTGGAGGTTAGGGGACCCGGGCGGTCACCCCCGGCTGGGGTCCCAGGGCAGGCCCTGCTCGGCTGCTCAGCGCAGGGGACAGTGGCTGCTGTCCCGCCTGCTGGGACGTCCCGGGGCCTCCTCTGCTTCGACACAGAACCAGGCGGGGTTGGGGGGGGGGCCTCCCGCGGGGACGGCTCGCAGGGAGCCCAATGACAGCTAGAGGACACCTTTGTCTAGGAGCATTTCCCTGCTCTGCTATACTTTACACCAAATGATTATCTCATCGCAAATCAAAGAGCTAAACAAAGAGTACCAGGATGCAGTTTTGCTGCAGCCAGTGTGGTGTTAGAGAAACAAAAAGATCATTTGGGGCGTTTCCAGTTTCACCAGGAAGAACCTTCTCCGACAACATTTGGTAAAAATCAAGCCGAAATCTGTCAGCCTGGCGCACCTGCTCTGGTGAGCTTTGGGCCGTGCTGGGCTTCTCGGCCAGGCTGGGGTGGATGGGCTGCCTCCTTGAGGTGGGGGCGCCTTGTGTACCCACTGGCACCCACACCACCCTCCCTGTGCCTCGGCCTCGTCTGCACGGTGGCCCTGCCCTGCACGGTGGCCTTCCGGCTCTCAGGGCGCTGCGGTGGGGCGTGGGCTGGGGAGGGAGGGCAGCTGTCCTGACTCTGGTCTGGGGCGGCCGAGGGGCCCTGCAGGAGCCTCCCGGATGCTGCCCACGGCCCAGCACATGGCTGCCCTGTGTGCCGGGGCCAGCCGCGCCCAGCACCCTTGCCGACACCGAGACCCTCCCCAGAGACGCTCCTGCGTTTCTCCCCAGTCCCCTGCAGGAACCCCAGCCCCTGCAGGTGCGCCCGGCGAGCGGGGATGTCGAGTCCTCTGCAGACGCTGCCTGGTCACAGACCGAGGGCGTTCCTGTCCGTGCCGCTGCCCTCCCGCTCGGAAACCTGCCCGGGGGCGCCCGGCTCCTTGCGCTCCCAGACAAGGCCTTTCCACTGCCCAGCTGAGCGCTGGCGGGATGATCCACACACGTTTAGGAATAACAGTAGCTTCACCTCTCGGAGCTCCAGCCTCCCCGTCTCTCGAAAGAGGAGCAGTCACTGAGTGTATGCGTGTACTTGCCGGATGCCTGGGCGACAGGTGACGCGGGAGCTGCCCTCGGGGCTCCCTTACAGGAAAAAGAGGACTAGCCAACAGGGAGGGGTGGGCGGTAGAATGTTCCAGAAAAGAAGCTGCACCAGCAAAGGCCTGGAGGCAAATAAAACAAGCAGCAGCGTGTGGGGCCGGTGGGGGCTCAGCACGCTGGAGGGTGAGCTGGGCAAGGCCCGGGGAGAGGCCCCGCCGGGGAAGCGGGGTCTGCCCGCCTGGGACCTCAGGAGAGCAAACCAGCCTTGGGCAAAGCGCTTTAAGCCGGCAGGTTTGCAAACACCAGCGTCACTGCAGCCACCACCCTCCAAATTAAAGCAGTGAGCCTCGGGGCACGGCTGGACAACCGGGAATATCGCAGGGCTCTGTTACTCAGCTATGCACGAATTCCTGACCCTCCGCTCCTTGCCGAGGGCCAAGATCCTAAGGTTTGCGGTCGGGGCCGGCTTTGCAGGGCTGCGGCCTGTCTCAGGCCCTGGCTGTAAGTGGGCCAGGGAGTCCTGGGGCCACCTGTCACCCAAGGAGGCGCGTCTGAGCCAGGTCTCCAGGGCCGCGTGGCGGGGTCAGCGAGGAGGACGGAGAGAGCGTCCAGGAGGGGGAGAGGGCGTCCAGGAGGGGGAGAGGGCGTCCAGGAGGGGGAGAGGGAGTCCAGGAGGGGGAGAGGGCGTCCAGGAGGGGGAGAGGGCGTCCAGGAGGGGGAGAGGGCAGCCTGGAGAGGCGGCAAGTGCAGGCTGTGCCCAGGGGAGGTGACGGGAAGGACGGTGACAGGTGACAAGGAGGGGGTGGCAGGAGGGGAGGTGACAGGTGATGGGGAGGGGAAGTGACAGGGAAGGGTGACAGAGAAGGAAGGGTGACGGGGAGGTGACATTGAAGTGGAGGTGACAGGTGAGCCCTCCCAGGGCCCAGAGCAGGGGCCAGGGCTCCCAGAGGGACACTGGGAGAGGGTCCGGGGCACTCACTGTTGGCCCGAGGGTGCAGCCCATGCCCCTCAGAGAGCGAGTGCCCTGCAGACGGGCCCAGCGGTCCTCAGGGAAGCCCCTCTGTCCCTGACTCGGCGCCCGGCCGTCCACGAAGCCGTTACCGAAAGACCCAGGCAAGGAAGCTTCCGGCACGCTGTTTCTCCGCCAGTGTCCTGTGGGCCCAGTGGGCTCGCCAGGTGTGAGGGCTGCAGAAGCCACACGCCCCAGAGCTCTTCATCCGCGTCCCTCCTCCGCGTGCTCTGCGACCCCCGTCCCCTCTCGGGGCCCAGGCCCCGGCGGTCGGTCCTCCCGGTGCCAGCCGCGCCCGCTCACCCTGGGCTCGCTCCTGGCTGGCTCTGCGCTTTGCGAGGCGTTTGCTGAGCACCTGCTGTGTGGGCTTGAAGGTGGAGCCGGCGGCCCCGCCCTGCCCGGGCTGCAGGGGCTCCCTGGCGCGATGCTGGCTGCGGAGCAGAGCTGAGGGCCAGGCCAGGAGGGGACAAAGGGACACCAGCTGCACCAGCGCCTGGGGCAGAGCCGGGTGGTGGGGCTGCAGGGCCTCCCCTCCTGGCCTCCCCATCTCAGCACACGGACCCCGCTCCCACGGGCGGCAGCAGGCCGGGCCCGTCTGTCACGCGTGTGCCACACACGGCAGTGTCCCTGCTCCGGCACCGTAAGGAGCTTCTGGGCAGGGGCCTCAGCCCCGAGAGCCACTCCCAGAGCAGGAGTGGGGCGGTTGGGTTGGTCGTGTCACCGGACGGCCCAGGATGGGCCCGGCAGCCCTGAGGGACGCCGGCTGAGACACAGAGACCACCCAGCCTGGCCAGAGCTACCCCAGACTTGCCGGGACTAT